TCACCAGGTTGATTATATTTTATAATAATTTGTCAGTGGTATGTCTGTTTGATGAGAGCAAATTTCTTGAGGATAGATATGGTAAGACTTTAGTATTGCTTTTACTTTGTAATAAATTCTTACTCCTTTAACAAAATAAGTGAGTACAATCATCTCATTACCAAAGATTATATACCAGCTCCCTACATCTGGAGTCAGTCTCATAGCTACCATAGCTCCTTAGAATATGCATGTACATTTATACACATATGAATGCATATTCCTTGTTTCTCAGAGCAATATATTCAATAGATAAGAAACTCACAGAGTATATACAGCCCAAGGCCATTGGCATACAAAGTGATCAAGTCAAGTTGTAAAGCTGTCTGGTTAAATCTCATGCCCTTTCCACCACAATACTTCAATCTCACCTTCCACACTGCTGAGCCTGCCAGTGTAAGCACATTTCAAGTCTTGGTCTTCTTTGTAAGTCCAATTTCATCTCATTCACTCATCTCCAGGATAGACAATTGCTCCAACATAACACTTAGGTAATACCCCTCTACGTATACTTGTGCAAAACCATCTTCAGGGTATCATGTTAAAATGCAGATTACAATTCAGTAAATTCGAGATAATGTCTAAAGTTCTGCATACTAGTTCTGTTCCTAGATAGGATACTACTTGTCTAGGTCCACATTCATATCTGAATATGAAAGTAACAGATCTTTTTGTTATATACCTTTGAGGCTTGTCTTTTTACTTCTCTTCTTCCTAATTCCACTAAAAGTACCAACTTCCTTTCAATACCTTTCTTTTTCCCACCTCATTCTGACTTTTATTAAATCCCAGTAACATTGTGTTTTAGCTCTTAATTAGTTCCTTGGCAAATGCATTATTGTTTTTGGTATCATATATTTGCCTTGGTCAATTAAACACCATAGAACTTCTTGTATCTCCTTTCTTCTTTTTAGCACTTAACATAGCACTCCGTTTTATGCAACTACGGTGGATAATTGTTGTATAGCTCATCTACTCAGATAAGAGCTCTCTTCCTTTTTCACATCCTTTTTTTCAATCCAAGGAAGAACCTACAACCACACAAATAATCTGTGGGAAGCTATGTCCTACTGTGTGTTCCACACAATGAACTGAATACGACGTCAGTGTTTGTTCTCTGGTACTTAGAATTGGATTGGCAAGAACAATTTAATCTCATTCTTCAGAAGGCCTATATATCATTTAAAATTCAACCAAAGACCATATTTTCTGACTGTGTAGAGTGAGAAGAAGCTAGCCTGAATGTTGGGAACAACAACACAAGAGCAAAAACAGACCTGAGAATCACAAAGATGAGAATTCCAGGGAAGATGCCAGGAAAACACCACAGCCTTCTGTTCTGGGTGACAGTCTCCAAAGCATGCCTATATTGGAAGCCCTTGGCTTTATGAAAAACCAACTGTTCTGTTTTCCGTTACGCAAATTCCATGGCTGTAGTTACTTACAATCCATCTAATCTAAACAGGATTTGCATATGCATATTGCCAATATGACTGTGATGATGTCTGCTGATTGAATCTCAAGTATAGTAGTCGTTGTCATGGTAGGAAACAGTGAAAGGAAAACTGGGTGAAGAGCCAAAGACACTCTTCAAATGTAAGTCTTCAGATTTTCTGAATACTTTGTGCTTGCTCCTTTTAAGTGGAGGTTCCTGGACACATGGTTAGCCGATGGCACCATCATTTCTTTGGTTGAGAATCTTATTGAAAGAAAATTAGTTTTCATTCCTACAGAGCCTCGGCTGCTCTCCAACTGACTATCTAGCCTGGGCAAGCTGAAGAAAATGCTAAAATTATAGGTGTGCACTAATGCACCCACCTCCAGGAATCTAAATTTTAAATGTTTCCAAATGATGCCTAAGATTTTTGTTTCGTAAAACATGTACATCTTTGTGATTCAGTATCCAAGTCTTACCAGCTGAACACATTTGCTCAGATAGTTATACTCAACTCATTTCAAGGGGGCTGGGGGTGAGGGTAGGCTGACTTTTTTCTCTGCCTGACTAATAACCATGCTCAAATTGTGACTAGTTAAAATGCTTGAAGACTTTTCAGATTCTTATCAGAAAATTAAAACTTAAAAGTATTTGTAAAGACCTTCAGAGATGGTGTCACAACTAATTTCTCAGGCTCTGTCTTCTAGCTGTTGTCAAGTCCAGTGATGAAGTCCAATTACCATTGCCTGAGTAAAAGAGGTCTCCCATATGATCTTCTCATGCTGTGCTACAATTTAACCTGCTTCCTCATATTCTGACCTCAGGGGCTGTGCAAACAGCTTTCATGCCTTTCAGCTCTCTTTTAGTCTTAGAAGCAGAATGACAAATTAAGCTTCATGCATCTGAAGAGGTCTCTGTAAACACTAATTTGTAGTGATTATTCCAACATAATTAGGTGTTTCAAAGTAATGTGGGTTTTCTTTCTTCCATTTTCTTCACTGGCATCTAGTTACAGTCTATTCAAATGTATATAAAAATTCCTAAGAAAAATTTCCCCTAAGTGTTGCTCTGAAATACTGTGTAGAGGCCTTAATCCTATTATCACAGATGAGTACAACACTTAAATATCTCCTTCATGGCTGTTAAGGCCCAGTAGAGTCAACTCACACCCAGGGAGCTTTAATCACAGATCATCATCGTCATGATAAACGACGAAGACTCAGTGTGGGCTATCATGTCCATGGCTAAGGCTACTAGGGGAGTTGTTAATGGGAGAATTGCCAGCATGCAGTTCATAATAACTATTCCAAAAGAACTCTCCTGATCTAATGGCTAAATTAGGATCATTAGAGTAGCTTTACATGTAGCATTTCTTAAGTCCATATTAAAAAGAGACTAATCATTTTTTTCCCCAGTGGATCCAACTGGGATTGTGTGACTGTTGCAAATCTTATCGTCAAGGGTTTAAGGTTACACCGGTAGAGAGTGAATTACCAGCTGACTATCCATCGCCTCTATCCCATTTTTATGTTTTTATGACTCATTGCATCACTCACAATCACAAATAAAGCATTAGAGGAGAGGCATGAAGAAACTATCATACAGCCAAATAATAAGAATCAGAATAATGACACCATGAAGACTGAAGTAGTGGAAGATTTCTGGTTAGTGAAAATTGATACTTCACTAGGAGTTTTCTGTGCTGCCCCAGGTGGTATTCATCATTTGCCTTGTTTTCTCTGCTAAAACTCAATTTTCATCCTCAAGCCCCAAACTAGATGCTACAGAAATGACTTTAAAGTCTACTGTATAATTTACAAAGAGCCAGTATGATCTGAAGAAAGTTCAGGGGAAAATAAGAAGCAGAACATGTAAGCAAAGAAGACAGCCCACAATCCAATCTGAATTTCTCAGAGTTGAAAATTTTTCAAGCATTTTCCTGAGTGCTTGAAGCATAATGAAGAAAAAAATATTTTAATATGAAAAAAGAGAAAAGAAACAAAAGCAATATTTGTTCATTGGCTAGTGGATAAAGATGATGAAATATGCAAAGTGAAAGGTATTAGAATGGAAATGAATGGGTACAGTCATACATTTAGCATATCAAGGCAAAGTGATTAGTAATAAAATTTAGAGACATGAGGAAGTTAGGACTTCATGCAGCTGTTCAGAAGACTCCTCTAAGCCGTGCTGTTCATAGCCTCTTATTAGCACTTCTACATATATTTGCTACTCTTTGATCCAAGTTGGCCTATTACAGGTTCCTCTTGCAATTAGACAGAAATATTTCCCTAGGGATTAAAAGATCCTCTGTGCACATTCCCCATTTAATGTTGATATAACATAGATCAAAAATGATAAGAGGGAGAGTGGCATTTTAAGATTCTGATCAAATAAATCTGGAAAAATAATTTATAATAGATTATGAGAAGCTCAAGCACCCCGCAACATTCTATGGTTTGGAAACATTTTTAGTGAAATGTTGAAATCTTATACTAAAAGAATATTGACTTACATGAATTGTGACAAATTGGTTACCAATAATCAATTAATTGCTTTTACTATTGCTTTCTTTCACTGTGGAATTCCAGATTTATACAGTTTCTCAGCTGTTTGCTTCATACACACAACACACACACACACATACACAGAAGTTTTTATCTTCATGAAGGATTCACATGGCATTGTTAAGGATTCTGGTATTTTATGATTTCCAGTTTACCATTGTTTCAGAAATAGGTAAATTTCTGGTATTGCATTAATAACTTAATATATGCATTGGTTTTTTTAGAATGAGTGGTAAAACCATGTATTTGAGCTCAGTACCTTAAAATATGCATTAGTACTCTTTTAGAATGAGTGGTAAAACCTTGTATTTGTGCTCAATACCTTAGTATATGCATTGGTACTCTTTTAGAATGAGTGGTAAAACCATGTATTTGTGCTCAATAATAAATAGAGTTTTGGGGCTATAGAAAACAGAAAATTGAGAAATTTTCTTTCATTGAGGATTCATACCATGAATCAATTATTTGGCAGCTATTTATATACTGGGCAGCTTATCAATTTGATATATAAGATAAACCTAAAACCCCAAAAAATAAATTAATCTCCCTAACAAATATAAAATATTTTTAGAATGTAACTGCTATATCAATGGTATAAGAAAACCAAACTTTTCATTTATCATTTTTTTTGCCAGTCCTGGGACTTGAACTCAGGGCCTGTGCACTGTCCCTGAGCTTCTTTTTCTCAAGGCTAGCGCTCTATTACTTGAGCCACAGCACTACTGCCAGCTTTTTCTGTTTATGTGGTACTGAGGAATTGAACCCAGGGCTTCATGAATGCTAGGTAAGCACTCTACCACTAAGCCACCTTCTCAGATTTTATTTATCATTTTTCTGATAAGGTTCTGCATTATATTAAAATGAAAATACATGGGTGTTGTTACTTTCCAAGAACGTGGTCACGAAGCAGAGGAAGGCAACATTTGAAAGTACTGTTTAGCATAAACCCTGTTGCATACCTCATATTCTTGGGAAAACTTCAAGTTGTCATTTGCTTTCAACCTTTCAATGTGATCTGCAAGTTCCAAGATAGGTATTGGAGGATGACTAGCCATACCTATTAAAAAAGAAGGAAAGAAGAAATACATTTGAAAACACTTGAAAATTACGTTAACTTTCCAAAATACAGAAAATGCTGTAGTTAGAAATGGCCTGAAAACATGTGAGTAGTAAAGATGTTTTAGATGAAGAAGCAGGCAGATAGTTTGGCTACTCAAAGCAGGACATGCTCTGGAAGAATGGAGTTTGTAGCTAAATACAAAAGTCACCAAGAATAATCCCCAAACTAGTACTCCTAGCATAAAAGAAAGTGTTATTGTGCTATGAATCAATGAGGTTAGCTAGCAGAGAAAACCGACAGTCAGTCATGATGTCAACTTCTGCTTTGAGTAATGACTGTTATGTCATTTCAAACTCCTTTTCCTGCACTGTGTGAAATGGAAATTGTGTGGAATTAAATGGTGTAAAAGTGAACTAAGAAAATAGACACAGACAGAGGCCTAGAAGAGGAAGAGGAGCAGCTTGATAGGAAACATAAAGTGACTTATGCATAATCAAGGAAAACTAACTTGAAGAATGAAGGTTACCAGGGTAACCGGAATCATCTGAACCTGCAAAGGAAATGATGGTGTAAATAAAATAAAATAAAACAAAATTGTCTCTTTAAAAAAATGAAATGGATAGCCCAGTATACTTTTGAAAAATAACAAAAAAGGCTTCAAGTTTTTGCAGGATTCACCATACATTGTGACTACATTAAGATTGCTTTAATATTTCACAAACCTGTAAGTGACTGACATTCACATGCAAACATAGACACAAAGGATGACATGCACCACAGAACACTGATGATAATCACAGACTGCAAACCAGACACCAAACTGAACCTCAAAAATGTTTCCACTAGTAGCAGATTGTAGAGGATGGGGTTAGAGCCTTCTCCTGGACATCCGTAAATGGCCACACTAACATGTTGATGGTATTTTGTCACAAGTCTCATTATTGAAGCCCCAGAAAGCCTACAATCTACTTCAGTTGTAAACATCTTTGTCCACTAATGAAAAATGAGTTCAGAAAAGTGAACACATGGTAGAAGGACCAGAAGAGAAAAAGAAAAGATAGTAAAAGAAAGAAAGCAGAGACAGGGGCTGACACATCTTAGTTCAGTCTGCCAGCTGAACACATATCAATTTCAGGGATTTTGTTGAAGATACTCTGCTGTTAATTTTGGCGAATCTTACGTCTTCCTGATGTTCATATGCTTTGCATTTTGTTTCATTCTGATTAATTTTGCACGAGTGTCAAGAAGAGTATCTGCTGACTTAGATCTTGGAGACACACATTCCAGCTGGCTAGAGAAACCTGAACTAGCATGCCCCCAGGGAAGCCTCCTGAGGGAGGAACTCAAACTGGAAGCCACATCGACATTCTACTGTCACTGTGATGCTTTGGAGGGTTTTGGCTTGGGGAATGATAAGGTTTAAGTCAATATGACATGTGATTACGTTATGACCATCTTAGAAATGGTGCCACTACTTTAAGTCACCCAGTAAGCCCCCTTATCTCAAGTGCCAAATTACCAATGGTTCTGGTAAATTAAATAAAAAGCCACTTCACTTTTTCAAGACTACCATTTAGCATAGTGCTGTGAATTACGGCAAGCTAAGCATTTATGGCTATGCAAGTCTGCTGCCAGTCAGCTAAAATCTTAGTGGAGATCCAATAAAAAATGAGTTGGTTAGAAATAGAAACTCTTTATTGGTGATAAAATTATGCATTTGGGCTGAAAAATTTGGAGCCCTTTCTGAAACTTTTGTGTATAGATAGTAGCATTGAACTCATTTCCATTCTGTGGAGAAAGTGGGTGGGTGTGACAGTGATCTGATAATTGAAGTGATCTTCTCCAGATGAGGCACTCCCCAGTGAAAAGAAAGGAAATACTAAGGCACAAGAGACTGGAGGCTTATCTGAAAATGGAAATGGACTGATGTGGACAACATTACAGTGCTTTAACAGAAAAAATAACAGAGACAAAGATGTTTGGACCTTGTCGAGCGAATCGTGGGAGAGAGTTATTATCATATATGGACTGAGTGGTGGTTTGGCTAGAGAGGGAGGACACAGAGCCAATCAGGGAGGCGTAGGGGACTGAATTACTGCTCAAAGCTGCAAAAAGTAAAGCCAGTTGGAGATGGGAAAAGCATTAGTATAACAGCAGTAGAAGACCATAATAAACAACGAAATGCGATCAAGGTATTTACTTTGGGCATGCACTGGCACATGGTGTGGAAGTATTATTTTGGAAGCTAATAAAAGAGAAATCCAGGCAAATCTGGGCTGAAACTTTCTACACGCAAATATAAATAGATATATCACATGTAAAGGTATAGTATTATAAAATCATCATTGAAGACTTCCAGTACTGAGTTAAAAACACCAGTACTGAAAAAAAAATGTCAATATGCAGAACATGGTGCTAAATTTGTGGGACGAGTAAAAATGGCATAACAGATGTTTCAGAGAAAAGTGGTGAACTCATGGGAATCAAATGGGACAAAGGAGGAATCCAGGCCCAGAGCGCTACACTTGTGTTATACTTCTGGTTCTGCCATCTATTAATAGAAACAAGTCTCTTCCTGTCAAACACCTCAATTTCTTTGTCTACAAGATAAAAATGGAAGACTAAGTAAGCTTTGGTGCTGCCCTTCATGGCTTTCCTTTCTGTCTGCTATGGATAGCATTTCTGAGTAGAGGAGAGTCATAGTTATGGCCCATAGTAGGGGTTCTAAAAGTTATCCCAACTTTTCTTTGAAAGCATAAATAGAAAACTATCATGCTTTTGAACTATCTCCTTTATTTCATTTTTCTCTAGCTAGCTTAACTTATATACAATAGATTATGATGTAATGCCACAGAGTTGGAAACCACTGGTTATCAATATAAAAATTATGCTAAATAGAGCTGGGAAGGTGGCTCAGTGGTACAGTGTTTGCCTCCAATGAATAAGGCCCTGGGTTCAATTCTTCATGGACAGAAAAAGCCCATGGCGCTGTGGCTCAAGTGGCAGAGAGCTAGCTTTGAGCTGAAGAGCTTAGGGGACAGCATCTAGGCTCAGAGTTCAAGCCTCATGACGGAAAAAAAATATGCTAAATAATAAACCTGGGCGAAAACTACTCTAAACAGAAACATTTTACTTCAAATCAGAAGACCATCACTGAGGATTTACTTTAAAATAACCCAGAATCTTCTACACTGCCAAATGTCGAAACCATTTTATATAGTATAAACACATTTATGGTATTCTGAATGAAACAGTAGACACAAAGTAAACTAAAAGTACTGAAGTAATCCCTCTATACTATCTTTACAGTCTTTTGTCTGGCAACTTCCTCACTGGCTCAAATTTTTCCTCTGTTCTTTTAATGAGAACAGTATTTTCACATTGGAATCAGAGATGCTTTAAAATTCCTTTTTGCAGGCTACACATCAGACGAGTTAATCCTGAGACTCTAGATCTTGAAGCCAGATGTGGATATTTGTAAAAAAAAAATTCCTATCAATCATCTTTGGTCCAATAGGAATTCCTGATGAGGGCCTTAGGAGGTGTGAAACTCAGTTTAATACTTTTGTCACTTCAAAAGCATACTGTCAGGATTTATGAAAATGAGATGAGCTTCCTCCTGGTACCATCCTTATATTACCTGTGACTATCAGTTAGCAAGCCTTAGTATTTTTTCCCTATGATTAGTGGCAAAGTATTTGAAACATTGCTAACAACTGAATAGTCAGCTGCCAGTGTGATGAACTCATCAATTCAATACTACCAATGTATGATACACAAGCACTTTTAAGGCACCCATTGAAATGGAGCCCTGTGCCTATTGAAGCTAGGGTATCCACAATACACAGTATTGTGATGAGAAATGAAGGTGGAGCCAAGGGAATCTGCCTTCGAGGAAAAGACATGACTGCCACAGGGTACGTAGTTGTAATGATAATGTCACATAAAATAAAAGTTGAATGGGATTTTAAGTTAATTTTATATGTCTTATACAAGGACTATGAAATCCAGAAAAGTGAAATGACTTTTTTAGTTCTGGTAATAAATAACAAAAATATTAACATGATGTTTGGCTATCTTCCTATTGTATCATTTCTAGAACAGTAGTGATGATGCTCTAAAGCAGGGTCTAGTGGCAAAAAGGAGCAAAGGCTGATAGGATTATAACCAAAGATAGACTTCTTTGGCTTATCTTCAGATATATTGTACCCTAATCATTTCCGTAAGAAAAAGGACTCATACTTATTTCCTTGCATCAGACACCAGGGGTGTCTTTTATTCACTTACTCTCTGTAGAGACTCAAGAAAAAGTAGTATTTCTCTATTATATAAAAAGGGATGGAAGTATGGCTCACATGGTAGAGCACCTACCAAATAAGTCCTCCAGTTCATGCAAAAACAAACTTGAAAAAAGAACCAGTAACAAAACAGGAACAAGCAGCTTGAAATTCTAGCTAATCATGAGGCTGAGATGTGGAAACCAGTGGTTTGAACCTAGCCTGGCCCAAACAGTAAGCAAGATTCCCAAATAATAAGCAAAACACTGGGCTGGTGATATGGCTCCAAGTGGTAGAATGCCAGCTGAGCAAGCAAGTGGAGGAAGCAAACCTGCATATCCTCAAAAACAAACACAAATAACAATAAGCAGAGAGGTAGTTAGTAACTAGTGTTCAGTTCCAATGTAAACATCACTACCTTTGTGTTTGGTGGAAGTGTGGGAGACTTCTGATAAATAAAGCTACTCAGTTCCAGCATTTGCTTTACCATGGGGATATGCAGGACCAGTTGAGTCAGAAGGCTCAGGTTTCATTGATAACTACAATTCCAGATTATTCTGTAATCATCTCTCAGTTTCCAATACTGATTCAATATTTTCTTGAAACCATGTGGACAGCAAAGATAAGACCTTTTCAATCTCCATATGGCCAAGTGGACTGTGACCTCTGTTTGAAAGAACTAAATTTTCCCTTTTGATGTCGGTGAGTTAAAAATTGAGGAATTATGACAAAGAGGGGACAGAGTATATGGTTGAATGCATAACAGGAGAGATGTTGAACTTTTTGTTTGGTACTTCTTGTATGCCTCATCTTCTAAGGGTTCATGGATTTTCACCTCCCTCTAGCTTCATCCCCCATTAATAATGCCAATTAGGAAAATAAAATCAGAAGATTTAAAAGGCTTGATCCAGGTCATCATCAGTAAAGTATGGCTACATGGGGGATATGGTCCTAGATTTTGTCAATTCTCACTTAGGGCACTTCTTACTGTACCATGCCATCTCTCAAATTATTGAACACTTCTGGAAACAGTTGTGACATGTATGTAAAGCTGAGCTTATAAGACTGGATTTGCTCTGCAGCAACACAGAGATCATAAACCATCCTCAGCTTTAGAAATGTGTTAATGCAACAACTTCACTTAGAATGCACATGTGTTTCCAGGGTTGCAAACAGATAAAGGGCCCTCATGCCCTCATCTGTGCTTCCAGTTCATTTTTGTACAAACATTAAGTATCCATGAAAACTAAAGGTATAAAGCCAAACTGTTAGAAATCGTAGTAAAATTTGGAAGATTAAAAAAAAAAAACTCCTACACTATTTTTAGCTTTAAAGTGTTCTGTTGTATTTTTACCAAATCATTGAGTGCTTTTTCAAATGATCCACAGCAAAATGTTTATCAGGTCGAAGTTGAGCATTCCCATTCCAAACACTGAAAATTTTAACTGGTCCAATATCTGAAATATTTTGAGTTCTGACAAGGTGTTACTAGTAGAAAATTCCATACCTGACCTCATCTGACAGGTGGCAGTTAAAATGTGGGCACACTAAATTATTGTATAAAAGTACTTTCAGGATATATGCTTAAGGGATACTTAAACAAATCTTCTATTTAGACCCAGGGCCAATCTCCAAATATCATAAACCCAAGTTGAAATATTCCCCATCCCCTGAATTCTCAAATCCAAGGCACATTTGTTTCTAAGAAATTTGGATAAAGTATACTCTACTAATACGTGATTATTTCACACATCTTAAACTTTGTATTTAATACCGATAGGCACTTGGTTTAGTTTGGTAGTTAAACAAATACTTCTTTTGAGGTCACGAAGAATGAGGGGACATACCGTAGATGGATTTTTCCTTCATAATACATGTATGTTTATAATGTTTCCATAAGATTCTCTTTATGGTATTGTTTTCTAGTAATTGTGATAAATGATAGGAAAAGTATGTAGTCACAGGCCAAATAGAAACTAATTTGTTTATCAAATCAATGATCACAGCCTTTAAAGATGGACTTTACTTAATAATCATGGAGAATATTGAGATAATTAACTCAATTTACACAATTTACAATAGCCTGCCCAAAGTGCAGATACTCTCCTCTGTTTATAATTGGTTTCAAAAACTAATGATAAGTTAGACATAAAGAAAACATTGACTTAGAGATATGATTGCCTCTTGGTAAAACAATAAGGACAATTTGACTTAATCTGGGGGGGGGGGGGGTGACATCATCACGAAGTGACATATTCTCTAAGAGTGGCTTTCTCAGTTAAGAACCAAATTGCAGAATTAAAGTTGTTATATAGGATTTCTCAATATGTAGAATTTAAGAAAATCATGTCTGTTATTTCCCAAATTTACCATTTTGACTCAATGAGGCAAGGTTTTCCCAGTACAAAATTTCAAAGAACAGGTCAGGTACTCTTCACCTACATTGTGTGCCTGCATTTTCTATGGAATAAATGAAATATGAAGAAGAAAATATAGAGAAAATAGATCTTGTTAGCATGGACCCAATTAACAGCACCAGTAGATCAGAAGAAATGCCTCCAGAGTTTTCAAAGCCCGTGTGACTGCTGTGCAGATATTTCTGCTGCTGATACCACAATTTCTGATACGTTAACTTTTTATGAGTTTGGTTTTGTTTTTCACAGCCCATCAATCATCTACCATCCATGTATGCTTTGGGGCAAAACACATTAAGGTCATCTAGAGAATGAAAATGAGGCCTTTATGTGGAGACATCTGATCATCAATTTTTAATCTCCTTTTGGAACATGTGCAAGCAGAAGAGTTCATTATGTTTTGATTGGGGGTAATTTTGGGGGGAAGGGGGAGTAGGGGCAAGAGATAGTGTCAGGTTTTACATTCTGGCAACGGGGAGAGATGAGGTTAATGGATCACTGGATGTTGCTTGTTTTACCTTCTTTTATACCTTTCTTTTTACTGGAAGGAAAGCATGTCTCTCTTAAGCACTGAATTTCTAAATTTGGCTTTTTGAGAGAAAGGCGAAAATGAACAATTATCTGTAATTCGTTGTCTTTGTTATATCATGGTCTGTTTTGTTTTTGTGCTAGGGCTTTAACTTAGGTCCTCGTGCTCTCTTGAGTTCTTCGTTCAAGGTTGCCACTGACTCACACCTCCACTTGCAGCTTTTTGCTGGTTAATTGGAGATTAAAAGTCTGTAAAATTTGTCCATCTAAGCTGGCTTCGAACCAAGATTTTCAGATCGCAGCCTCCTGAGTAATTAGGATTAAGGCATAAACTACTAATGCCAAGCTATCATCTTTTGACAATATCACATTTATTTGAGTCATTCTTGATCTTATTCGTAAAGAATTGTGACAACATTAAAAAAAAAAACAACCTGTAATTAGTACTGTCTACCTAAATAGTATCTAACTAAATGTCCTTACTCAAAGACCTGCTACCCCATTTCTAGATGCCTGACATGCAGAAATAGGACCAATGGTATGAAAAGATGGGTTTGCTACGGCTTATTATAATGTAATCTGAATCAGCCAGGCTTGGGAAAGACCTTCACCCTCTACTACTAGGGGATGATACAGTATGTGTAGAAATCTACACAGTATAGTATCATCTGTTGAAAGAAAGATAAGACAATATATTGACTTGTCCAAAAGTTGATTTTTATATTTAAAAGTTACAGCAGCAAATTGTGTGTGCATCTATGTTTACCTACCTACTGGACATTCTATCAGTTAAAGAACCATGTACACAAATGGGAAAGTCTGGAAGAATATGAATGAAGGATATCCTGGAGGATGTAATTGGGACAAAAGTAGAGTTTTTTAAGTTTTACATATGTTAAGAAAAAGAAAAAAAGTATAGAACAAATATTATTATTTTCACATTTTTTCTGCTTCTCCCAAATTATCATTATGAAAACACTCAAATAAATACAAATTTTAAAAATACCTGTTAACCATATTCTATATATGATTAATAAGCTTGTTTTACATATTTCAACATCATCTTCTAAAACATGAGGATTTTTTTTAAAGACAAGGCATATGAGGAAGGGTGCTCAAATAAGTTGGACTTTAAAAAGAGAGAACAATACCTTTTCTAATCCAGAATAATGGACACATTTCATTTTTAACTAATATAACATCTATCTGCTAACCCTCTCTAATATCTACCCTGTTTCTGCTGGGCACAAAAACATTAGCCACTTAAGTAAATATGTCTTTCCTTCTTGCACAGATTAGAAAGATTTGTAAAATTTCACAATAGTTAGTAATTCTAATAAACTTCTCTATTACCTCTCTTCTCCGCTATTTACTTTGCCTAATTTATTCCATTATTCGAGATTAGAAGCCAAATCATGAGTATACGATACCTTCCTATGTATTAAAGTTTCCCTGTTAGTTTTGTAAAGTTATTGGTGATACCAGAAATACTGTTGCCTGTTCTACCTTAGTTCTGACTGGCCCTCTATAGCAAAAATAAATATATTGATTGACCTTTTGGTGTAAACCATTACTCATTTAAAAGATTAGGTAGCTTTGTTTATTCTCAAGTACAACTTGGTTGCCCAATTCTATCTAAATCTTTCTAAGGTCTCCTCTCATTACTTATTTCAGAGCAAGATGCCTAAAAGGTGCACTCAGAGGGTGTCTCAACACGAGGTATGGTACACTGGAAGGAAGACTTGATGTTCCACCAACATACACATGTATATTATAAATTTATCAGCCTTTTAAAATGCACCTGGAAGCTTTTGGTTACAGAAACCGTGTTCTTCCTCCTTTTATGTTCATCAGGCAAAAGTTTATAGTCTAACTTAATACAAAATGAAATAAAAAATTTAAAAGATACACATTTAGGATTATTTTATAGCCACTTTGAAGATATTAAACATTAAGAGTTATTATGAAACATCTCCAATTAAAAAGAGAAAAATATGCTGTACATGGAAATTCACTGTAATTTTTTTCAGTTTAAAAAATACACTAAAACATAAAGTTCAATAAATTTATAGTGTGTTATCCTGGGTGTTAGGACATTTATTGGGCATAAATTTGTCAACAATTCCACAACCAAACTGGATTCCGAAAGACTTCCTCAGGCTGATTTTTACCTGGCTTATGACCAACAGATACTAAGACAGTGCCTCTTAGGTTTACATTTTCAGCTCCATGATTATCCTCTGCACTTTACTGGACATTACCAAAATTTTGTTGAAAGAATGCTCAGTACATCTACACTTGAGTGAAATAGATTATAAAATGTTCCTCATCAGAGCGTGTCGTCTTCTGTTGAAGCACCTAATGTTATTAAACAAGTACATGGTTTCCACATCTCAGTTTCTTCATATGTCTATCCAATAAGAAACCTAAATTGGTCAGTGAGAGTGAGTACAGGTAATATTTTCATTACCTAATACCTTACCTCTTTGCTTCCTTCCCACCCTTCCATTTTTCCTTCTATTTGCTCCCTCATTCTTTCTCTTCCTCCTTTCTATTTCTCTCTTCCCTTGTTCCTTCTGTCCTTTCTTCCACTCTCCCCCTTTCTTGCTTCCCTCTCTCCCTTCCTTATTACTCTTTCTTTCTGAGCATCACAAACATAAACAAATAGAAAATGTAGAACAAACCTATGCTTCTTCAATGACACAGATGGAGTACACATTTACCATTTTAATCATGCATTCATTTTATAAGATGAGAAACTGAAATCTTCCCAGGTTGGTGTCACTAAAAATAATAACTGGTATATATTAAGTATATAAAATAGTAGATATTCTTATAACACCTACAGCTCTTTCACAATTAAAAAAGTACATTTATTTTCCTATACTACTTCAGAGTTGCTCAAAGTATGCAATTTCTTTTCTGCTTTGTGCTAAGTGATCCTCCACAATATTAAAATAAAAGAGCAAGATGAAGAAAATGGTTCAAAACAAAATGATATAGTCATCTATAAGGTCAATATCAGTTGGGCTGTTAGACTTTCCATGAAGAGTTTATTAAGGCTTTGGCGGACTATGCCTCTTACCTGGTGTTTGAAAGTTAAGGCGCCTCAGTTCTACTGGGTCTGTTGGATGGTGTGAAGGGACCTCCTTACTGTTCGGTATGCTGCTTTTTCTAGACTCAGATTCTGCCCTTTTCCTATAGGGAGAAAATTAAAATTGAAGAATTGAAATATATCTCTTGGAAAATGGAGAGAGTTACACCACCTCAAATTCTGTTTTAAAACTTTAACTGGCTAATTTGTGATCGTGTTCAAGGTTGCTATGCCTTTGCTGCCCCACAGTTTCAGTGGATGATCTAAAAGTCTTCCTTTAGCTCCCAGATTAAACTATTCACTGTCTCAAGGCTTCACAATCTTAGGAAGTGTTGTTAATATATATTCATATCTTTGTTCGGCAGGTCTCTATTTTCTACTGCTTCTATTTATGAGGAATAAGAGAGCGGGCCTCTAGTAATCAGTGCTAATATTGTTTTTATCACTGAGAAACTACTGGCCTCAATATTACAAACTTGGTCTGTTTCATTTTCCTCCCTCTAATTAAAAACAAATGGTAGTTACAAAATGGAGATATACTCAATATGCTCATGAGGCAGGGAAACACAACAAATGCATTTCTAATCTTAATACCCAGAAGGAGAACTGGGACCATGTAAGACCAATGTTGTTGCTCTTTTTCAAGAAGGAAAAATAATAGTGTTGACTGTTTACAGTTATGTTGAGCTAACTATGATGGATGAAACTGAACCACCGAAAGATCAGAAAAAAAATAAGTTTCATCCCATGGGCAGCCCAACTCTTCTCATGATTACTCAAGATATAACTAAAAGGTTCTGTGAGAAATATGAGTCTTCACCTAATTTATCTTATCTTTGTTTTAAAAGCTGATTTTATCATATATACTTACTTTAGCTTTACAATGTAACTTTAACTGATTTCTAGATCAAGATCTGTTAGATATATTCAAGAGATTTCTTTGTGCATTTCCTTTCAAACCCAAATAACTATCTTCTCAAATGAAGATTTAGATTAAAATGTGCACTTAACAAATGAAATTCTTTTTCGGATAGTTTTTTTCCCCCTCCCATATACTGATCCCAGTTATCTCTATGCTGGACTTACAATCCTTGCACCTTATCCCTGCTCAAAACAAAAACATTTTTATTACAGGAGGAAGTGCTGCCAAGCTTCTCACTTTCTCTTTTCCATCTGATGGTGGTACGGCTCATTAGTGCTGCTGTGGCAATGGACACCCATGCAATGCCAAGCAGGTCATTTTATGTTTAGCCAGATCATTCCTGTTCCATAGCCTTTCATTCCATCTCTGATCATCTGTATGGAATCAAACTCACCAAGGGAAGAAGGGAAGGTTGATGCAAAGGGGATATGCACTTGATTTTCTCTAGCTCAGTATCTTCGAAAAAAACATCTCAAAAAAGTGAATTTTCTTGAGTGAATCCTATTAGACACTGTGCTTTCTGAGTATCTTGTATTAACTTGGCTGCTTAGGATTTCCTTTTTTCCTAAAGGTGTCAGGTACAGCCTTAGGATAGAATGTACTCATCATCTCTATGGCCAAAATCCAAGTCAATCTTTGTTTTTGAAATATGCTAAAGTTACCAGCAACTTCACTTATATGGATTGGAAAATGACAAAGAAAGAAGAGATGGAGGATATATGAGAAAGAGATGAGAAGGAAGCTGGGGGGGGGGCGCTCAGAAGATCAGACAGAAGAACATGATGATTATTTTCAAAGTAGTAAACGTTACTGCAATCATACTACAGAATTTGCCTCACCACAATGAGAGAGTCACTTTACCACTGAAAATGCAAAAATGAACTAGATAATGAAATGTCACTGAGTGCAGCTAGCCAATCAATCTCATATGAAACCTAGGGTTGGTCTTCATTCTCTGAATATATACTAGTACCGTTAGGCACTGGCCTTTTTATGTAATATGGCACAGGCACACACTACTGATGCACCAGACCCAGTGAATACAACCTGAATTCTCTCTCCTCAATGGCTCGCCTGTCATTCTCACAAGATTATGGAAACAAGAATTGCACATATCTCTGCAAGGAAATTGCTTCACTCTTAGGGGTACTATTAAAAAAACAACCCCCTTATCTTCATTTTCCCAGAGGCCAAGTTTGAGTGACACTGAGCTGGAGGCACAGAAAAGAACACATTCAAAAATTTAGCCAACTTCTGTACCAGAGAAGTTGGAAATCATGTCTTGTTGTCAAGATGGGAGTGTCAGAAAACACAGGGTATGGGATTAAAGTTATTTACAATTCATGTTTATAATAAACTGGAAGAAGGAGGGCTCTGGACATCTGATAACTATTTTCTCTCTGATGTAATTAAATGATAGGCAAAACCTTGGATTCCACAAATCCTTATCCAGCCTGGAAAACAAGCTTTATATATTTATTAGTTTGTTTTGATGATGAAAACATAGATAGTTCTGGCTAATCATATTAGTACTACATTATTTTGAGAAACTCATGTATCATTTTTTTTTTGTCTAACATAGGAAGGATTTCTAAGAGAAGATGATGTATTGGTCATCGTTGGTAATAAAAGTAAAAAGCTTTCAGAAATTGAATTTTTGCTCATAAAATATCAAAAGGCATGCACTAATCTAATCAGGCCCAACATGAACGTAGGTAGTCACATTTTCTTAGTGAGTATTCAAAAGACTCATATTCATTTTCAATTTAAAAAATGAAAGAATAGTGACTAGACATTAAATTTGTCTTATTATTTAAGTTAGAACTATAAAACCCTAGTGAAATTTTACTTCTTAGAACTCAATCATGTACAAGAATCAATGTGCTATGGAGGAAATGGAAAATCATATGACATGCCAGATCTGTGAGAAGCTGCATATAAACTTTGTTGTTGGCAATGTAGGAAGTGTTCAAGAAAAAGGTACTTCCTGTCAAAGCGGTGCTTTACTTTTATTTCATCTGGCTCTCAGGAGGGACACCAGGGAAAAAAGACTTTAGGTGCAAAGATTACATTCATGGTTTTACAACAAGGGCATGTGGACATTTGCAATCAGTATTTTGAAAGAAATCTCTAGTATGATTATTTGAAGAAATAGTTCGAAATTTTGAATCACTACTAAGAATGTACTACTCTTAAGCCTGGTAACACCAGCATTGGGTATCTGTCAATTGCAAACATTCTTGATAACTTCTTAATTTACATATTAGAGGAATAAGCACTCTTGGTCCACTTTTCTCATCTTAATAGCAGTACAAGAGGTGATTAACTGTAAAAAAAAAAACAACAACAACAAAAAAAAACATGGCCAGTAGCCAGACACCATTGGTTTAGGTCTATAATCCTAGCTACTCAGGAGGCGGAGATCTGAGGATTATGGTTCAAAGTCAGCTCAGGCAGGGAAATTAGTGAGACTCTTATCTCCAAGAAACTATTCAGAAAAAGTTGGAAGCGGCACTGTAGCTCAAGTGGTAGAGCCCTAGCCTTGAGCACAAAGAGGCCTAGGGACAAGACCCAGACCTGGAGGTTAAGCATCAGGACCACAAAAATAAAAATAGTGGACAGTGTTCCAAAGGAAGTTAGATCTCTGAGTACATTCATGGGTTCAGCATTTTAAAATTTGGCCAGAGAGGAAGAAGACTACTTTGTATGTTATTTTCTGCAGGGTTAATGGCAATTACCAGTGTGTACAAAAGAAAGGAACCTCACATGTGTAATGGGTGTCTATTACTCAATGTGTGGCTGTCAAACTATAGAAAGTAATTATAGAGAAAAACAGTTCAGGTCCCCTCAGACCTAGACCTGCATGAGAATCATCTGGAAGGACTTGTGAAATACAAGCTGCTAGTTCAGTGTCTAGAGTTTCTGTTTGGACTCTAGTGTGACTCAAGAAGTTGTATTTCTGTTAACTTTCCAGGGGTCATGTATACCATTATTGTTTGTCAGGTACTACTCACCAAGCTCAAAAGACAGAAAATAACATGAACTAATTATCCAATAACCACACAGGACATTCTGCCTATTCTTCTTGTTATTATTACTCAGGGATGGAAGATAATGGAGAATCATTTTGAATTAAGTAAGAGTTTTCACAAAGCTCATCGGTATTTGTAGAAAACGAAATGCTAACATTAGTGTCTCAAGAGGTGATCTGTGATCAGTCTTCCAAAGTGACTAATGGTTTAAAAAAAAACAAACAAAACAAAACAAAAAACCAAAAAGGCTTATACGACACCTTACATTTCTTCTATGCAGACACATTAACACATAGATACTCATTTAACTTTGACCACTAACAAAACTCAGAAGCTAGTTTTGGTCACCTTCAAATTTGGTTTTTATTAAATTCTTTTCTTATATAGTATAGTTGTTTTTCAGAATGTTCTTAGTATCAAACTTAATGCCTACAAGAAGGCTTTGTCCATCTTCCATGTGACAGGTAACATTTTTCATACATGGCCCCACCCTCACCTTTTCAATAACTCCAAAGGCTACCAGTATCTTAGTGTTTTTCTTACTGAGAATTGAAGGGATTTTTCCCTCTATTCCTCACCTGTCAGGTTTACTGCTCCATTTTAATGCAGCAAAAAAAGGAAAAAGAAAGGCTAAATGTTAGTTGGCCAATGGTAACAAGAGTAACCATGACAACCAAGATTTAAAAAATAGTGCTCACAAGCAAAGACACATAACTGACAAACATTAGGAAATGACACCATATTAAAATATATTTTAAGGTCTTGAATACTGGTAAACACAAGTTTACATGGATGCATAAAGAATCAGTATATCTGTGTGTGTGTGTGTGTATCTATGTGTTAGTGCTACAATTTTAGGATTATATACTATATTAATATTAATTCATCACCTACAAAATAGTGATATGATTATACGCTAGAGGTGTGTAACGATAGACATAATTTGATTTTTACATAACATGCCACGAGAAAACTACTAATATACATAATGAAAATACAATGGTATTTCATAAAAGACATTCAGCCATTTAACATGAAAATTCTTCTGTTAAGTGGTATGTTATCCCTTTAATGACATAAAATATCTGCAAATTACATTGAACTGTACAAAAAGTCTGCATAACAGGGTAATACACCATATTGAAATGAA